AGGGTAGTTTTTGTTATTACTTACTAAATAAAAAGTAAATTAGATTTTGCACTTAACTATTATTAAACTATTAAGCAATAAACTATTGATTAAGCCTAGTGAACCAAGACAGACAGATGAAGTAGAATAAGGGCCACAGCCACACAGGCAAACAAAACCATTAGTTATACAGTACATCTTATTAGTTTCGCTCGACTTTGAATTAATTTAGTACAGGTATGTTACACACTATTTTATATATATTAGTTATAATTTCCTGCTTTGAGTTACTTTGCACACTTTGATTCAGGACACATCTTGTGGGTGAATGACAAATGGATTTACTTAATAATTAGTTTCACTTCATGTTATCTATTTGGTTACACCTTTTCACCATTTCCCTTTTGTCTCATTGTGTGTGGTCTGTTTCTAGCCTCACTCCAGTTTATTTAATCACTTTAATCGAGTTATATTGTGTTACCAGGCTGTGTTAAACACTTAAATCTGATTGGCCAAAACCCCAGAACAATGGAGTCGTATTTCTCAACAGCATTGCATAACCAGGAATGACCTATTCACACATACAGAAGCAAATCAACCTGCAGAGAGAAATCCAGAAATCATTTACCCTCTGCCTGTTGGCAAAGCAGCAAAACATTAGTTTCTGTTAATGTTTGTATTCAGTAACAACATGGATGATATTCTTATGTTAATGAGACAGTTTTTTAGGTTGGCCAGTCAGCAGCAAATAAAAAATGTCCCAGTCAGGATCACCTCCTGTTCACCATACCTGCATTAAGTCTTACTCAACCTCTTTTGTAAGCTTAGCTTTTAATTCTTGTTTTTCAAGGTTTTTAAGATTTTGGGCAAAAAAATACAACTTTTTTACCCATAAGTCTTGCTCCCTTGTGCCCCACTGATTTATTCCTCGCACTATTTTAGGAAATGGCTCAATGTGCCATCACAAACGTCTTTGTCCTATTTATAGCGAGATCATGTAAACAAGTGTCAACCACTTTAACAAATGTTTACCCTTTGTGTAATCATAAATTAATAGAATTTATTGATATTTACTCGTATGAGCACACAGTGACTTATTGGAAAATGACATCTAGGATCAATAACACCATGTAATGGTAGCATGAGGAGATATTGGCACATACTATCCCTGTTAAGGCACAATGCCATATTGATTCAGTGAGCTGCTTAATGAGTGTCTTCCTTGAAAAATAGACTTTTGTAAAAGCTCCTTTGTTTACATTGTACAGTCAGTATTTTGAACACACCCTTAGGTACCCTTAAGGTATGAGGGGAATGTTTAAGACTCTGGTCAACAGTTTTTCATTACTTTCAGGCTTTTGATAAAGTGCTTTGAGGAAGGTCACTTACCTCCAGTCTGTCCAGGTTTAACAAGAAGAAGCCTGCATGCATGGCTTGTTTCACTCCGCCCCCTCCTCACACAGTCTGTACTGAATATGACAACCTGACACCCTCCACACAGGCCTGAACAACACAAACTCACACAGATAGGCATGTGCATGCCTCACTGCAGTTTGTTGTGCACGTGGCTCCACAGCAGCTGAACACAAACTGTTGACCTTCTTCTGCACGGATGTGTTGAACATTTACAGCTCAAGATGAATGGTGTTAGGGGTCAGCCGCCCCTTCATCTACACTCACTCTGCTCTTATACTCCTGCACACAAGTTGACTGAAGCAGGGGGCCAGGACGTACACATGGCACACTTATCGATGACCTATTTGCTTTACATGTCAGATCAGGTATCTACAAACCTCTTTGAGACTGTATTTATGAGACTAAAAGACAGACATTCAACCATGTTCCTGTGCTTTGAATCTACAAATGACTTTTATCCTGGATCATAATTCTAGCTTTTGTCAATAAAGGCGGGGACGTATTAGCTCTAAGTGAACTCCTGTCTGCATCTGATTGCTCTTTGACCTCTGACCTTTTCCAGGATTGGTGAATTAAATTTTTCCATAGGGTCAGATGTCAAAATAATCTGTAGGAGCTTTGGGTCATTTAACTTTCAAGCAAATTAACTTCATTTGTCATGGATCAGGACAATAATTTTGGCAAGTGAATGCATAAGATAGTTAGCTGACAGTTAACTAGTTTCGACTTCAGATGACCTCTGACCCCCTGGAGGATTTTGCAAAGTGAAGCTCTTGCAGGGACCAGAGGTCTTTTTAAGTAACTGGAGCACTGGGTCCTTAAAGAGGGCAGCCCCCCATGAGAAACCAGGTTAACGACCCTGCTAACAGCTCTCAGGCGACCCAGCTGTGAACAACTCTCAGGTGACCACCCACCCATTTTTACAGCTGGATGACCAACAGAGGCTATAAATTTCCAACTTGGGTTAGAACTGAAGAAGCCTTTTGGAAAAGAGACGGAACATCTTCAAGAACCTCAAACAAGTCCATCTGCCCTTTCATCGAAGAACTGGATTACCATGACCTGGATGAAAAAGAACCAAAACAGACGTCCTTAAATAGGCTATCGAGCTAATTTACTGCAGCTCTTTTACAGCTCTAAAGATTGTCTTTTTTTATCAGTAAACCTCAGCCCACATGTTGACAAGTCATCCTTGGCAAGATATTGACAAGGCTGCTGCTCGGGTGTCTGAGCCAAAGTTGGTCTGTGTAATAATGCCATACTATTGCTGTGCAAAATATAAAGGTTTTGCACAAATTTAAATTGCAAGTATAATTGATATAGTAATAAAGAAACATAAGAACATTTTTTAACTTCAACAAGCGACAAAGTTGCAACATTACGACAACACTGATGTCAGAGCAGAAAAGCTGCACAGAGGTAATTATAAAGCAACACATTTGATGTGAGATGCTACCTTTGGTGATTTTCAACATGGGAAACAAGATAATAATACTTTGTGGGAATTATACATTCACTGTAACATACCAGTGTGCTAGTAAGTAGAGGACGTGCTCCAACTTGTTACAACCATGTATCCACACAAAGAAACAAAACTGAGTTCATGAGCTGAGGAATATATTACGTCTTCTTTAAAAGTGTGCCACAACTCAGCATCCCCATTTCCTGTTCCCATGGATACATGAGCTCTAAATGCTTCAAAAACATGGCAGTCTCAGCCAGCAGTGTTTAAATGTGGTGCTCACTTAAAAGCTATTTGTGCGATTTATAAACCAAAGAGGCACTATCCCAGCAAAGTCAATTAACAATTTGTTTAATTGATCATATAAAGATTTACATTTAATGTTTCTTAAAGCTTGTTTCTCAAACTTACAGTAGATTTAGAGGGGTAGTTAAAACATAAGGACTGACCTTTCAGCTCTTTTAATGACAAACATGAAGGAGAAAGAAACACCGAGCCCTCACTGTTTTAGCAGCACTTTAAATAGTAAGGAGTAAATGGGTTAATTGTGTTTGCTTTGTGGGCAATGTGAAATCTGTGTTTTGATGTTTTGCACACCAGGATTGGTTGAATGATTAACATCACTGCAGACTTCAAGAGTTCAGCATTTCAAGAAAGATCCGCAGCATAAGATAAGTTGGCTGGTGTGACTGAGACCTAGATTATATGTTCAGGAAAAAAACATTGTAAAACTGGTAGGTTGATATGTTTGTGTGTGCTGAGAAAAGGGAAAGCATAACACTTTCCTCCTGGCTTTTACACTGGCAGCCTGTCTGTACTATGTCTACTATGTTCAGAACATTTCATATTTACTGTAAATATGAGCTTGTATGCAGGGTGCAGCATTAAAGGAAAATGACACCAGTTTCATCACCACCTTCTTTAAAAGGCCAAATTTTAAAAAAAAAAAAGTTTTAAAGTTAGAAAATTACAGGGTTTATTGTTTTGGCTCCTCTTATTTAATGTATCATGTAATTTTTAATTTCCCTGAGGGAACCTTCCCAAAAGGATCAATATAGTTCTATCTAATCTAATTCAATCTAACCTAACTTTTTCACAGGGTAACTTTGATGTAAAAACTACAACTGACAGTAGTTGTAACTGTAGGCAAGACTGGGTACTTCCAAAAACCTTCAAATCATTTTATTTATTGGAATATCTTTTTGGAAATTATGGAGAAATATCCATGAAATATACTCCCTAGCATTTAATGGTATATTTTATAAATTTACATAATATTAATCCTGCTACAGAGTTTCATTTTAAATGACATACTGTGAAACAGATCCCAAGTCATATCATTTGACTCCTGATCCCTATTTCTAGAGTGTGCGAAAATGAGAGGACTTTATGGGGCTTTTGCGAGTGATGGTGTCATACAGATCCCCCAGGATAGTTTTTCCAATAAAATTAAATAAAATTAACATTTAAGCTAAAATAAAGTAATTGATACTATTTTATAGGCATACAATTTCCATTACATTTATAGCTAAAATTCTGATCAATCGATCAAATTTTATTTACATAGCGCCAAATCACAACAGTTGCCATCCCAAAACGCTTTCCGAAGAAAAAGAGCAGGTTTAGAACACGCTAGTTGCTTGATAAATTATCAAGACCCACCCATAAAATGGGACATATTTGACCCATCTCATCAACATTAGTGACAGTGGCAAGGAAAAACTTCCTTTTAACAGGGGAAACCTTTGGAATTTTAAAGATAACCTAAAACTTAGTGATAACAGCTTTTGTTAAATAACTGATTACAAAAGTTTTCAATTTTGCTGTTAGGTACCACTATAACTATTGAAGTTTAGGTGATATATTATAAAGAAACCAATCAGCAATCCCGATGAAAAAAGTACATCATGTTAAAGCTCAACCTGCCTGGGGTTGGCCCGGGCTGTGGTGTTGCGGTGTGACATCCTTTCATGGGGGCCAGAATTACAAGCACCGCCCCTGGTAGCTCTGTTCAGTCGAAGGAAGTGACAACAACGCCATGTGTTTCGTCATCCACTTTTCTGTAGTTCCTCCCTACAGTCTTACACGGTCGCTTAGCAACAAGCTGTGGGCGGAAAGAATGAAGACAGTAGCCAATGGAGGCGGCAGTGGGCGGGGCTTCTTGTAAGACAGGCTGCAGGAGGGGCCACACAGAGTTGGAGTCCTCAAACGCCGGCGGGGATTGAAACACAGCTGCACCTTGGGAGCGTTAGTTTCAGGCTACAACACAGCTCCCCGCGCCCAGCCGGGTTGGTTTTATTGTGACTCCGCACGCGACTGAAGAAGAAAATGTCTAACGTGAACTGGAAGCCCTTTGTTTTCGGCGGACTGGCGTCTGTGACAGCGGAGTGCGGTGAGTGATGAGCGGAGATAGGAGGAGAGGCGGGGAGGCCGAGCTGCGTGGTTATCGGGTGTAAATGTGTTTAAATGTACCTCTTTTATCGTGATATACTGTCATCTAAAGAAGTATTTCAATGTCCTGTGTCGCAGGGACCTTCCCAATCGATTTGGCTAAGACACGTCTTCAAGTCCAAGGCCAAGTGGGGGACATTAAATACCGAGAGATCCGCTACAGAGGCATGCTTCATGCTATAGTGAGAATATGCAAAGAGGAGGGGCTCCGAGCTCTGTATTCAGGGTCAGTATGGAGGATTCAAGTGCTTCAATGTGTCTCTTTAAGTTTGCCCTTCAATTTTTTCTAATTTTATCCGTATTCAAGTGGCTATTTATTGTAATCCCACTGTACGGGGATTTCTACTACATTTTTTCAGTTCCTCGTTTTTGCACACTTCCTGGTTTTGTGACATTGTCTTAATTACAAGTGTCTGAACCCCACTATGTGTGGGCATGCTTTTGAATATTTGATTTACAATGTTTACACCTGATATGGAGTAATTATTCTTTACATAAGAAACAAAACAAGTATGATATGTGAAAACCTCCTTTTAAGAACTCGTCTGACTATCCACATAAGTCTGTCACCTACTGGTCTCTCATAGTCGTATGTTTTCACAGTCCTCTTCCAAAGCTTGCACATTAGCCACTGTTGTATGTTGTGTGTCTGCAAAGCCCCTGAGACATTATGCACAAGAGTGATGAAAATAAACTTGACTTTTACAGAATTGCTCCCGCCATGCTTCGGCAGGCCTCCTATGGGACCATAAAAATTGGCACATACCAGAGCTTGAAGCGCCTGTTTGTCGACCGACCAGAGGGTAAGTCTCAGTGTCTCTCCGTTTTTCCTCTCACACACACACACACTCTCTCTCTCTCTTTTGGGCATCCGGGGACACATGCACATTCCTCACGAAGGGGAGGGTGCAGATGTGCGTGTGACCTATTTACATGTCTGTTTATATTGTCACACCAAGAGCTTAATGCCTGTCTGTAAAAACACTGTGGAAACGAACTTCAGCTGATTGCCCTGATGCGATGTGCAAAATGTTGCTTGTTCACAGCCTCCCACTCTTCTTCTCTTTCAGATGAGACGCTGCTGACTAATGTGTTATGTGGTGTTGTCTCTGGTGTCGTCTCCTCCTCCATCGCCAACCCCACAGATGTGCTGAAGGTAGCCGTTTGCTCACAAAATGACTCTCAGACCTGTTTGTTATTGTTTAAATTAACCTGCCGTTGGTTGTCTTCCCGAGGCAGGAGAGCCGGTTTGACGGATTCTTTGCATGCAGAGATCTGAAAACAAAAAACAAAACAGCTTGTTTGCCCTTTGCATAGTCATGTCATATACGCTGCAGTCATTACACGAGACTTTTGAGGGGGACTGTACTTGGAAAAAACAAGAGTGCTGCTCCAGGCTGAGGGTGCGGTTTTTGGTTGCGTGTTGAGTCGAGTGAAGGGTATCTTAATGCTATCAAGACTTCACTTGTAGAGTATTTATAGACTGAAAGTTCAACGGCTTAACATGCTGTTCTGTAAATGATAGGGGAGCATTAATATGATGTGTTTCAGTGTGTGTGTGTGTGAGTGCTCCCTTATTTGAACTCATAATGTTTTGCCAAGAGTCTCTCCTCCATGCACAGTTTGGCTTGCTGACCCCCTGTCCTCTGTGTGTGTGTGTGTGAGTGTGTGTGTGTAAGGGTTAACAGACTAGTGGATATGGCTGCAGGTTTGGAACATTGTGTTTTCACCAGCAGCTGAACAGAAAACAGAGACTAGTCTGTAACAGCAGCCATTTTAAGTGAAAGCAGGTCTGAGGACTTTCTGGCAAAGTAGACAGAAATAATTTCCTTTTCGACAGCCTGCCTGCCAAAAGTCTCTTTGCTTTCACATTCCGTTGTGATTTCCGTAAAACAAACTCTGAGCTTTGATCAGCGGACCTGCAGAGTTCCTCTCTAGTTCTGCTTTCATTTTCTCAAGAACAAATTTATAAACTGTGCCTCCATCTGTCCTTGTAGATCCGCATGCAGGCTCAGGGAAATGTGATCCAGGGCAGCATGATGGGCAACTTCATCAACATCTACCAGGAGGAGGGGACCAGAGGGCTGTGGAAGGTACAGAAGAGTTCGAATAATGCTGAGTGGCTGCTTACTTTGACAATACTCTGACAACATCCTCTCTCCCTTCAAAAGGGCGTCTCTCTAACAGCGCAGCGGGCGGCCATCGTGGTGGGGGTCGAGCTGCCAGTCTATGACATCACCAAAAAGCATCTGATCATGTCGGGTTACATGGGGGATACCGTGTACACACACTTCTTGTGAGTTTGCAGGGTCACATGGAAATCACTCACATGTAGGGCATGTGGTGGTTACATCACTGGGAAGAAAGGGCTGGTCTGATGAAAATTAGGCAATTGGAGGGAAAACTAAAAGCAGCCTTTTCAGTTTTATGATTATCACAACCATTCTGAGTTATATAAGACATTTAGTGGCATCTTGGGGTATCATTGTGAATTTTTTTGTTGTTTCTTTTGAAATAGTAATTAAAGACAAAGAAAGTTTGAATCTTAGTTGACTAAACACTTAAGTCTGTCACACAGGTTGTAGTAAAAGTTGGTGATTTTATTGAGAAACAGAAATTTGATGGGATGGATTAGCTGACTATCATATTTACCTGCATCTTGTCGTCTTCCAGGTCCAGCTTTGTGTGTGGTCTTGCAGGGGCTTTGGCCTCCAACCCTGTAGATGTCGTCCGGACACGCATGATGAACCAGAGAGGAGCAGCTCTGTACCAGGGGACACTGGACTGTTTACTGCAGGTTAGACTCACTTCACAGAAAGAGTAAAATCAACAATTCACTCCTGAAGGTGTCCACTCTAGAAGGTGTCCACTGTTTCTGCATTGAAGGATAAGTCAACTCACTGCAGATCCAACTATTCAGCTTGTAAAAACAGTTTGATGAAGTCCTCTGCAGCTCAGTGGGGAGCTTTAAATCTGTGAAAATAAGTCAACTTCTCTTAGAGGCAGAGCATAACTCACAAAAGTAGACTTTTATTTACATTATTTTTAAAAGTGCTGCAGTATTCACTTGTTTCTTATTGACATCCCCAAAGTTTGCAATCCCCCTTTCCACGTGGGACTCTTCACTGGATTACAGATTATAAAAACAGTTATGTAACAAACAACGTGTACGATACTTGTGTGTTTTGATCAGCACAGTTCTTGTTTTCAAAAGTGTAACTGCAACCACCGGAACTGAAAGCTAGAGCGAGGCACACACAAACCACAACAAGATGGCGACACTTACCACCACAGAGCCTCACATCTGCCTGTGTCCTGTCTGCTCAGCTTAAATGTCTCAGTTTAGACAGAAGTTTCATCTGGCTACTTGTAAAGGCTTTGAAAGTCAAGACTGGAATGTTGGAATGTCTTTCATTATTTTAATGCCAAAAGCAGAACAGTATCATCTCCTCTTTCATTTTTGAGCCTTCATCCATTGTTTAAAGCAAAACTGAGTAGAGCTAACAGGAAGTGTGGAGTAGAGAGGGAGGAGATGACATTCTGTTGTTGGTTTCACTCCAATAGGGGCGGCTGTAATAGGAACTCTGCATTCTTGCGTAAGACACACATTGTACTCAGAAAGATCAACCAAAAATGCGAACTCAGCCGCAGGTTGAGAGACTCATTCCTGCAGCTCTTAATGCAAAACCCACAAGCATAATCAACACCGAGGACTTAAAATTAGACCCCAAAACTCCACTGTTATTCAAAACTTTGATTTGTTTTTAAATCAATGGCAGCAAATGTGGTCAAACTTATTACATTTTTGAGGTCATGCTGAACACCAGGATTAAATCTTATTGTCACTGGATTCCCAGCCTCAGCTTAGAAATGCCCAGAGAGGACTGAAAAAACATCTGAGGATAATCAAATATATGAGGTCTTTAACTTGTTTGTTTTCTTACAGACGTGGCGCTCTGAGGGCTTCATGGCCCTCTACAAGGGCTTCTTTCCCAACTGGCTCCGCCTGGGACCCTGGAACATCATTGTATCCTTTAACCATCTCATTAGTGATTCATTAGTCTGTTTTCGTACTGAAAATCCTCTGTGACGCAATAACTGTAGTGCTGCAGAAATCAGCCGGAAACCAGCAAACTCTGTTATGTAGTGAGGGACGCCCAGAATTCCAGGGTGTGCTCGAGTGGAGGAGAGCTTAGTTTATGATTCTAGTTAACTCCCTTATGTAACTTTGAAACTACTGCCTCAGTACCCCACTGCCCCCACTGGGAGGGGAGGGCTGGGGGCCTCTATGGGGGGTAAGACGGGGTGAAGCATGGACTCTCAAAGAGTTTCAGAAGGATATGAAGTGCTGGCAGCTCGTCATCTCGCTCCAACCAGGCCTGAAAAAAATGTAATGAGATTATTGACTTGTTACAGCAGACTGAGGTAACAAGGGAGCGGTAACAAGGGAGGCTTTGAGCTCAAGTACAGACAGAGCCAGAGCTCCTCGGTGAAAAATTTCCACTCCTCTTTCTGCTGCTCCTTAACTCTGCCTCCAGTTCTTCCTCACTTATGAGCAGCTGAAGAAGATCGATGTGTGACTGACAGAATGAGACAGCGCTGATGAGAGGTGTATGTGTGTACGCTCCGAGGCGAGCAGAGAGGACCAAAAATCGGGAATGGCTGGATGGGGATCCTTAATGGAACCACTGCACAGGGGGGACAGTATTGATGTAGACCCACGCATGACAGGCGGCATGAGAATCTGTCTGCTTCCTGCTTGGGCTGCGTGTCACATAAAGCCTGTGGCAAGTGTTGAAGACACTCATATCTGATGTTTCAGCTCATCCAAATGCTATGTTAAGCTTAAAAGCTCTTTGAATTTGTTTGTGGCCCTCTAAATTCATCGGAGAGAAGTTTTCAATGTCACAATAGTCTAAAACTTTTGTTGATGAGGCTTTTTTTTCCAGATTTCTGCACCTAAAAGTGTTCTCCAAATTCAGTGCCTTAGCTTGTGATGCAGGCTGTCTGCACGCAAACTGCATTAAGACTGTGAATGTTTGATTGGAGCTGACAATCGCAGAGATCATTCCCTTTTCAAAGGACAAATGTTTGACACGGACTTTGATCTTACCCTAGTTTGGTTCTTTTCTATTTCTCTAAATTGGGATTTGAGTGTTTTGAAAGGGGGAAATATTTATTCAAAGAGTCTCTGGAGGATTTACAGAGTCAAGTGCCAAGAATACGCGCCGGTCTCCTGTAATGAATAATCGCCTGAAGTTCTGTGTGGTGCTCAGACACAGACCCACACATCACATGCCCTTATGAGGCCAGACTGGTGGTCCCTCATTCCACTGAGTGCAGACAGTAAATATAACCTTGGGCAGCTGGGCGTCTAGCTCCCTGGGTCCTTATGTTATCATATACTGTACAGACTGACACAAATGCTATATCAGCCTACATGTTGTATAACACTGCTTTATTTTTGGACCAATGGGACTCAGTGTTACCCAGGGGTGCTTTATTTATTGCCTAAGCACATTCAAACCACTGAACATGATCCACTTGAGAGATATTTTCATCAACAGTATTACACGCTGTTTGCTGATACGTGAGCTTTAGCTAAGAGTGAGTATCCTGCTGGTGTTTGTGTGTGTGAGATGCAATTTCTGCCAAAGTGTGAGACACTGCAATTTTGTCATCCATATAAATGTGCTGTAGCCTTGAATATTTGGAATAAACAAGGAAAAAGCCTTTTCAGTGTCTTTCTTTGTTTTTACCACAGGGTGGCGCTGTGGTGCCACACATCAGCCCTCCAGAGCTGCTGTCTTCATGTCTTACTTCAAAAACTCCAAACCCTTAACTTTGAGACCACAGATCTAGCTCAGTTGTGTTGTCTCTGAAGGACTGCCCAGTTTATTTCAAACACACGTGTTCACACTGATTCCCACAAACAATGCCTTATGGTTTATTCACAGGAATCCCACATGTGAGTGCGCTTTTATTTCTGCGGTAAATTCCCACTTTTCTCTCATCAGAGCTGTTTTTGAGATGATGGGCGCTCGAGGGAATCGTTGAAGAGAATTTGCAGTGTGTGTGTGTGTGTCTTGTTCTTTTATTTAGAGAGCCTCATCAGGGGACGTATTAGTACTGTCATCTAAACCAGCATGAGATGAATGACACGCTACTGTTGATGTGACAATCATGGCTGCTCTGAATAAATCATTTCTAAACAATGAGACAGACAAGAAAGAATTGAAACAGGCCCTGTGTTAATTGTCTCCTACTTCAGCCATCAGACAAACAAAATAAGTGTTTGAAAGTCACGATAGCTCACAACTTTAAAAATCTGTTACTTTTTCATGCTAGCTCACAATATAGATGTTAAACACACATTTAATCATAGCTGCAATGATAAATACATATGTTACTTAAGAGAAAGGATTATGATAAGTGCCTCTAACATTAACTGGGACAGCTTTAGTGGTAGCACTGGTATCAATAGCTGCCTCTGAGTCTGCCTTCACTGGCATTGTTAGCCACTGGGTTCATCCATGGACTGGAGGCATTTTGCGCGCCCATGAAATAGGCCAAACAATCACACAACTGTTTCAATATAAACAAATATGTAAAATAAAACATTACTGCTTCTCCTCTCTACAATATAAGATCTAATTAAAGCTGATGAAATACCATTTTGATGAAGAATTGAAATCACTTCTTTGTTGATTAGGTTCAGGTTTTTTGGCCTGGCTTTTGTTGGTCTTCATCAGGACTTTTACTTTACAAAAAACGAGTGTTAAAATAACCACGTTAACATCTTGTTTCACATATAATCTTATTCTTTAAAAGAGTCTTTGGTTAAATTATATCAATATTAATTAACATGATTATTTTTCACTTTATTGCTGCCCACTGGTTTCCCGCCAACCCTGTTACCCTAACCCTGCAGAAAAATGGTGTATTCTGTATTTGATCATTAATACTAATGTGTCGTGTTCACACCAATCAAAATTATTAATTTGCTCAATTCATATCTAAACATTTGCTTTTACTAAATATGAAAGTTAGCTTAAAATCACTAACCCTGGTAAAGTCAGCAGTTTCATAGCTCTGACATGCTGAATAATGACCAACATGAAAAGGATCAATCTAAAAAAGTTTGTGAAAAATCTACTGAAAGGCTTGTTGATCAAGTATACATAGAACTACAATAAGGAAACAGTGTTAGACCTCTAAGAAATGTCATGAGCTTGATGAACTCAACAATGCCAGTCCAGAATAAATCAATATGTAGCTTGGAGGGAAATTTTCATAGAAGTGCTTGGATAAAGTTTGCTGTATAGGCTGTAAAAGGAGCACTTGAGTCAGTCCTGTTGCCATGACATCAATCCTGTAAAAAAAAAAAAAAAAAAACCATTTAGGTGAACTTTCAAAATTTGCCATCATAATTTTTAACAATAACAATAATTTTTAAATTTTTTTTCAATCATTTTTGGCAGGGTCATTTTTTATTATGTATTTTTTCTTAATTTCTCATGTGGAAAAGAAAAACTAATTGGAGAAAAAATAAAATCTGGGAATAATCTGAATGAAAACAGGGACCAAGGTAATGTTCCTACATTTGTGATCCTTTGTATGCCTGATTATAAAGACAATATGTTATGTTTTAAGGTCAGTAACAAGGTTGATAAAAAAAAACGTTATGAAATTTTACTTACTTTAGTATGACTTATTGTAGTTCAAACCGCAGTTAATCTCTGGCTACACAAAATAATGATTACACTTAGTTTTGATTATAGAGTTAAACAGTCATAGGTTTCATGTAATGACCCTTTTGTGAGTATTTCTACAAAAACAATGTGTTCACTGTTTTATTTCAAGGCCCTGATTTAAAACTAATTTATAGGTTTTATAAGACTAAAGACTAAAATACTAAAGTACAGATATGACCCTAATGAACCAAGTGTCTAACATCTGTGTCAAATCAAGGTCCAAAAACGTCCCTCACTGTCCATGAGGCTGAAAGAGAGCAAAGAACAATGCATGAATTGTACCAGGATCTGGCATCCATAATGGACATTATAGTCTGCTGCCTGGCATCATGTCTCTGGCACAGTCGTCGACAAGCTGAACAAGTGTTGCCACAAGGGATTCCAGCAGTCACAGACATGCTGCATTATGGGTATTATTTGCTGCCTGGCCCAAGGGTGCAGAGGGCTGGCTCTATTGTGTTGCAGGGATCAGAGTGAGCTTTTGTGTCAGAGGGATAAGGCTCTGCTCCAAACACCCTGCCCTCTGTTTTTTTCTCCTTGTTTTTTTTTTCTTTCAGCCGCTCCTCAGATGAAAACACCGCTCACCACAACATGCGGGTGAATGGATGGAGGGATAAATGGACAGGCGGATAGAGGTGTAGACGAGGAGACAGATCTATCGTGGTCTGTTGATCCATCTGGAACAGGGATTGTGTTCTTCCGTGCAGCACACTGCTGACAAAGAAAAAAATCACCAGCCAATTGCCATCCCTTTGTGCTCAATATCACGACTGAGATATGTGCTTGAGTACAACAGAACCATTTTTCTTTCTCAGCTTTTGAAAGATGCTCAGAAAATGCCCGGGTGCTTAGTTTGAGTAAAACAGATGATTCTTCCTCCTGAAAATACTTTGTTTACTGGCTGCCAATTCTACATTACATCAAAATATGTTGCTCAGGAAGCTGTCTGAAATGTCTTTCTCGAGAAGGAAAAAAATGTGTAGCCTTCTGCAATTTGAAAATGTGCCTGCAGTAAATATTGTGATAAATTGTACAGCCATGTCAGGTCTGTCAACAACAATGTGACAGAGTGACACAAGACAGCAAAAGATCCAGGAGGAAAAAAAACATGTCAAATGACATTTTCAAAGAAGTCCTTCTCAGAGGGAACTGTAAATGAAATTTCAGAAAGTAACAAATATCTCACAAAGTTCCTGCAGGAGCACAAAGAGATGTTACACAGATGCCAGGGGGATAATAAAAAGCCATGTAAATGATAACTGTGACATTTCAGCAGATATGCTTATTCACTGTCTTGTCAGGGATAACAGAGAGGATTGATAATACTCCTGTGTCTGGAGACTCAACATATTGTTAGAGCCAACAGCAAGTTCACTCAGCATTAAGAAAGACAACATTTCTGTGTGCATTCTAGGGCGGGAAACAAAATAAATCACTGTTCAGCACTGAACTATGCCACAGTTTAACCCACACACTGTTGTATAAACTGTTTAACAACTGTGTTATAATTTTTGTTGTGCAAGCCTTTATCACCCCCGCCCACCACTCTACCCCTGACTGTTCCATTAGTCAGGGAGAAATGGCCGTTTCTCTTCTGTTCAATCTGGTATTTTTATTATTATTTTTTATTAATATTATTATTATTTTTTGTAATTCAAATTTTTATTAATTTTAACAGTTCTTAATAACTTTAAACAGTGTAGCATTTTGGGACACATGCTGCCATGTTGACCCCATATCTCTGTTGTCTTCTCTTCCCTCCAACTTTGCTGTGGGGCATCTTGTTTTTTCCACTTTTGTAATATCAGTCTTGCAGCTGTGTTAAACCCAATCTTTAGGATACTTAACTTATCATTAGACACCATTGGAACCATTTTTCTGTCTCCAAGAAGACAGAGCTTTGGATTTATGGGCAATGTAAAACCCAGCCAACCTCCTAGAATCTCCGAAACCTTAAACCAGAACAGGTGCACCAAGGTGCACTCCCAGATCAGGTGTAAATATGAACCCAATTCTTTTCTGCACTTCCAGCATCTGTTATCATCAGCTATTCTCATTTTTTCAAGTCTAGTCAGTGTCCAATGGTATCTATGCATTATTTTATATTAAATGAGTTTTCCTCTTGCTTCTCTGTTTTATTCCTACATTTGAGACGATATCCAACCACTTATCCTCCCATAGATTAAATGAAATGCCCCTCTGCCATATTAATCTGAGACTGTTACAGCTGTCTCCCGTGAGGTGCTTAAACATCTTATAAAACTCTGAAGCTTTTTGAGTTTTCCGTGATAATTTGAAATACTGGCTTAAAATATCACTATGTTGTTCATTATTCACTCTGGTATTTTTAACAAACAAAATATTGCATGTAAAAAATGATTGATTTACAGTTTCAAGATAATCTCTCGAACCATCCGATAATCAGGTCTTTGCTGACTTAGTTGTAAGTTCTCCTTGGGTCATGAAGTAACGTCGCAGCTATTTTCTTTTCTAAAGAGGGAGGCATCAGAAATCTGAGAAAAAGTTTTGTGAGAACAGACATAATAAAGCTTTCTGTGTTTATCATTTCACCGATTAGTCCTGTAGCTCCTCCAACAATAAAAAACACAGACTGTTAGTAGCATTATAGCAGATGGCACTGTAACCTTTAGTTAACTGCCTATATATGAAACTAAAGCAAGCCACAGATGTTTCTGTGTCCACAGAACTTTGGAGTCATCTTGATTTTAGCTGTGTAAAAAGTAACACGGGTTAGTGCGCCTCATGTATGGGGACCACAAGTCCCCCGCAGCAGTTGCAGGTTCCAGTCTGGGAATGAAGGATTGGGTTGGGGGTATATTCTTTGTTTCCTTCTTTTTTCCCTTTCCTGTGTAAAGTACTTTGTGCTACATGGTTCTGTATGAAAAGTGCTATATAAGTAAAGACTGATTGATTAAAAGAGTAACACCAACACGTCTAACTTCCTATCACTGGAAAAGCAGCCCA